TTACTTATTTACTTATTTACTTATTTACTTACTTATGTACTTATTTGCTGAGGCCTCTGGGGACAAGGCTGCACCCAGGAAATGATTCAGAACTAAAAGAATTCAGATAATTTGCAAGAAAAATGCCACCGTGGGAGGCTTTGGTAAGCAAAAATTCGGAGTTTAGTGCGGGGATGGGAGGAATAAGATATCTGAAAAAGCAAAGCGCTGTGATGAGCAGCGCTGAGGTTTCGCAGAGGGTTTATGAACTTGTCTTCTTTTTCTTTTAGGGAGTGCAGGAGCATCCTGGTAAAGCCCCGTGAAGAAGAAGGAACCCAGCTGCTCCTCGGTTGCAATTTTGGGCTGGTTTTGATCCTTCTCGCCTCCTCGCTGGTGGAGTTTGGGGGCACCCTTGTCCCCTCCGCGGCCCCGGGCATGGCAGAAGCTGTTCCTGATGCTGGTACGTAATGGCTGGCTCCTTTTCTAGACGATTCAAATTGCTGCCCTGCATCCGGTGGGGTAGGTTTCGCGCTTCTAAAAGCATTTCCACAAGATTTTTGCTTTGGCCCAGGCAAAAACTCAGCTGTGGTCATGATGCCCTTGCAGCAGAGAGAGCAGGAAAGAGCACGTAAGCACCAGTCTTCTTTCTTGGGATGGTTTGGAGGCTGTGGCTGGGTTTTTGGCAGCTAAAATTTAGTTAAAAATAACTGGGTGGAGGGAGATGGAAAGAAGTGAAGTGGTCTGAGGGCTGTAGGAGGAAAGGGCGCAGCCCCAGCTGTGGGTCTGGGGGACGGTGACCGTCGCTCGTGGTTGTGGGGGGAGGTGATGAGGTCAGGCAGCCCTCACAATCCTGGGGGGCTGAGGATGCACCCCCAAACTGAGCCTGCACCCCACTGTGCCCCCTGCCATGGTATCCAGCTCACTCCACCCCCAGATCCCCCCGGGCTTCTCCTCTCCTCTGGGACTCTGCTCCCCCTTTCTTCTCAGGGTGATGTTCCTTTGTTCTCTCACCTCCCCCTCCTCCAACAGAAAAACTCCCCAACATTAGAGACAGGGCAGCTCAAAAGCAAAAGTGACAGAAAGAACACTGGGGCC